TTGGAATTGGATCCTCCAGTCCCAGCTGTTCTAGCCCCTGACATCATGCTTTAGAAACAAGCTTTCCCTAGTCTATCCTTTAGAAGTTCATGATCTAGAATTCATGAACATAATCAAATGGTGCTAGTCTGGCGCCACCAAATTTGGAGTGGTTTGTTCCATAGCAGTAGATTACTAGGACAGTAAGGGAGAGAGGTCAGATAAAAATAGTGGATAGAAAGTCAAGATTTGAAGTGTTGTTTTTTTCCTACTGAAGAAAGTAGATGGTGTGTGCAAACATTATTCTTCCAGTTTCATTTTGGAAGCTAGTGTCCATCCACATTAACTCACTAGACTCTAGATTCTCATTAACTGCCAAGAAATGTCATCCCAATGAACTACTTGAGATTTCATGTTTAAAATTTTGAGTTCTTGGTATGTTTCCATATTGGTCACCTGGAGGAGCTGGCAGTTTTAGACTAGCTATGGCCAAGTGAGTAATGAAATTATGGGAAAATATATAACCTGGGTTTCTGTGTCACAGTAAGATATTAAAGTTTTTGATGCTGCCAGTTTTCTTTTATTTTTATTATGTTTTTAGAACTGAGAATTGGTGTGACTAGAAATTCCAGCCAGAGATCAGCATTTCAGAGTCAGCTGCCTATTAAAAATCTGGATGTTCTCAGAAACCTAGTGATAGAGCTTCTTATTCTGTAGCTCAGAGTAGGGAAGAGGTGTGCCCAAGGCCTCAGGCTGGGACTGTGGGCTCCTGACTCTCCATTCCCTGTACAGTGCCCTTTCCTCTCAGTAAGTGTTTTTTAGCCTGTAGTCTGGTTCAAAGATGAACCCCCAGGTATTGGACCAGGTTCTGTGAAGCAGCTGAAATGGTGCACACCGTTTTGTTTGTATGTGCTTTTGTACTCATTTGTAAAGAGAATCTATACCTTCCATCTAATTCTTACAGAGATCAGTGACCCAGAAAAGTATAAGTCCACTGTACTTGATTAATACTGTCGTTTAAAAACTACCAGAGTAAGTTAAATCTTGTACTACCTCATATCTACATCAGAAGCTTCTAGGGAAATTCTTTAGTTAAGATTAATCCATAATGGGTGCATCTTTCAGATAGTTAGGCATAGTTGAAGCACCCACCAACCGACACATCTTACTGTCAGTTTAGAAAAACTTGGTAAGCTCTCACGCATTAAAATCACTTTTGTGATTCAAAAGCAACAAACAACACAGGGCTAATTAGGTATTATTTTTCCTTGTAGCCATTGCAGTAAAGGCAGAGAGGGCTGGGATCTTTACAGAGAGAGCCTGAAAGCACAGAGGCTAACTTAACAGAGGTTTATTTTTCACACACACCACCATCCCATGTTGGTGTTCAGTGACCTTTTTATATGGCATTTCAGGAACTCATTCTCCTTTTCTCTTGGGGTTCTACCAGCGTCTTGGGTCTTGGAGTACTTTACTTCTAGCCAGAAGACAGGAAAAGAGGGAGAATTGAGGACAGGGTAAAAAGTATTTATGGAAGTTGAGTTCCTAATTTCTGCCCATGTCCCACTGGCCAGAAATAAGTAATTTGGCACCATCATCATTGATACATGGGCAGTGGTAGTGGTGCTTCCTAGAAACACTCTACTTTAATGAAGAGGAGCACAAATCTTCTTGGTTGGGCAGTTGCTACTCTCTGCCACAGAGTGAGTGTTTTAAGGATGCTCAGTCTCAGAGATGGATGAAGTGTCTGAGATGGAACTTTCAGACCATCCATGATGTCTGCATGTGGATTACAATCTTCACTTACCTGACACCTTAGGAATTAAGGTGATCCTCAGAAAGTTGAAGTCAGGATTGATTGAAATACAGTGTAGTTAAGATAGGAAAATTGCAATTTTCAGGTAACTGGAGATTTTGTTTCGTTTTACATTTTAAGGAGTGATGACACAGAGCGTAAGGACCCAGTCTTGATTTTGAGCTGGTTTACATTATAATGGAAATTGTATAATTATAGCAAAGAAAACTCTTTCCATTTTTGCAAAACTATTGCTACAAGTTTAGCTTTGTTATTGCATGTTTGCTCTAAAAAATGTTTTTGTGCTTGGCAGAAATTACAACAACACATACCTTTACTCTATGGTTTTTATTTTCTATTTGTGTTACTTAGTTGCGTCTTAATTATTTTTGCTTATTTTATGCAAACTTCTCTCCTCAAATTATCTTATGATTTTTATTCTGGAATTTGGTTTGGCTATGGTATGAAA